GGGGGGTTATTAAGAATTCTTTTTTAAATTCTTTGTAGCCTCACTGATACTGAACGCCTAAATAGTGGAGGATTTACCAGGCAGATAAAACAGCAGTGAATTTTCCAGTTTTCGATAGGAATTTTAAAAAAATTTAAAGAAATTTCAAAATCATTCGAAAATCTTAATGTTTGGGAATGAGAAAAAAAAACGATCTAAAAACTGATGGGTTGTTTCAGTGCTTGATTGCTGATTTCAAGGAAATCGAGCAGCGCAAAAATGTGCAGCAAAATGACTGCAGTCATGAATTGAACAGCAGTGGTCGCAGGAAGAGGATGTCTCTCCATGAAATGCAACAAAGAATGAGGGTACCGCTTTTTGTTGTTTGTTAGCTTGGAATAGAACAAATAAATAGTGCCGCGCGGCAAGATAATCGGGCTTTTATGCGTTTTGTGCAGTCCTGTCCAGCTGACATTTGTTGTTAAGAATGTTCATTGCTTTATGGCTCGGTATGCGCAAAAAAACCGAAATTTTGTCTGCTTGCCGAGCTACGAAGTTTTTTTTTCCAGCGAAAATTTCACAAGCCGTTACGTGGAACGTAGTTGTCTGTAAAAGTAAAATTTAATTTTATACTTTAATGTTAGACTTTTGTAATTTTAATTTTAGATGATGTATGTTTATGTAAAAAGTAAGGGTTTAAAAGTAAGGGAATAAAAGGAAGGTGAATAAGATAAATGAAAATTTTGTCTTGTTTGGTTCTTAAACTGAAAATTTCCTATTTGACATGTCGTGTGTCCCTGCGTAAGATGGAGGCAGTCAAAAATGCTGAGTTTCAAATTTTAGAGCTGCTGCACATCGACAGGAAGCATTATCCTAAATGTTCAGCCTTCTGTCTTGTTCGGTTCTTGAGGCAGAAAATTTCCTGCCAAAATCCTTATGTACCGTGTACATGAGGCTAGGCTTACTCGGAAGCTGATTTCGAATTATGGAATCATGTATGGGCAGAATACATCCTTTTTGAACCTCAGCTTTCTTGCCTTTTTGGTTCGCGAATTAATAATTTCCCCACCAAAACTCACGTGAGCATGCATGAGACAGACGTATTTGGAGGCTAAATTCGAGTGTCTACAGTTGTACATGTTTTGTACGCATCCTCCTAAAATTTTAGCTTCTTAGCTTTTCTGGTTTCCGAATTACTGATTTCCTTATTCGAACTTTGGTACTGCTAAGGGATGAAACACAGACAGGCCTGCCTATATTACGTCCGGTACTTGGCAAATTAACATGTCTTATATTTTTTTAATACATTTGCTGCTTAACAATCTTTTCTACTCCTCCCCCCTCCCCCCTCTCGCTCCTCGCCCTCCACTTTTTTTGCATCCTCCCGATTCTGCCCACTTCAAATCTCACTGTTGCGCGATTATTAACTTGGCCCATTTGAATCAACGAGTATTTTCATTACAGTTTCATTTCAGCGCTGCAACTTCATTATGTTTTTTTGTACGTTTTTCCCCCGTCCCTTTCCTTCCATCTCATTTCATTTGTCCATAATGGGAATGAGAAGTTCGCGAAGACCGAATTTGAAATGATTGGGCTGTTTAGGCACACGGAATAATTGATAAGTTATCACTATTCTTAAGATCTAAAAGTGTTATGAGCCGGTCTGGACAAGCTGTCGTCTTGTTGAAGACTAACGTGTTTACATTAGGATGACGATCGATCGGGGCTAGTTCTTCTGAATTCTATGATTTCTATAGGAAAAGACTGGTTTCCCACTGATTGTTCCCCCGTGCTCTCCCTTGACAATTCAGTAAGCAGCTGGTCATGGATTCCAGTTGTTTTTGATTTTTCGGCATGCAAAAATTCGCTTTATTCCTTTCAATTTATTTTAAACATGGTTGGCTCAGTTTTCTGAGGTCTTAGAGGCTTGCTTGCTGATTGGATTGATAACATCAGATCCAGGGATCAGAGAGCAATTCCTGTGGAGTGGCTGAGATATTTTACAGTGCGATCATTGCTCTGTTGATTTAGAATTGTGAATTACGGTTATCGTGTTTGTTGCAGTGAAAACTTAGAAAATTTTTTCCAGGATAAGATTGCTGAGAAAAAACGTTTGGACGTGATGTCGCAGGACCGACAAAGATTTATTAGTTTCCTTACTCAGGTAAAAGGTTTTTTTTGCAATATTTTTGAAATTTACAAAGTTTTCCGGCATTTGATCGGATGATTTTTTTTTGCATTTTTGCTGTAAAATTCAAAATTCCGAGAAGGAAACATATAAGTTTAGTAATCAGTGCTGTCAACATTCAGGCCATCGTTGATTCTTTCTGATTCGTTTATTATTTCGGTGTTAAATTGGTACTTGGGCTTGGTACTGAGGGCCAACAAACATGGTACTGAGGGCCAGCAATCATCCAGTTTTTATGCGTTTTGTGCTGTGTAACAGCGTTACAAAACGCATATTGTCACGGGGTTGTCTGTGTGTCTGTCCCACATTTTGTCCCGCACTTTCAACTCGGGAGCCACAAAAGCTAGGCGGCTGAAATAATGTTCCCCGCCAACGGGTGACGCTGCAAATCTAAGTTCAGCCTTCCCGTACCCGCGGGTAACGCGTATGGCCCATAAAAGTTTTTCACGAGTAAGTTAATATCTCGGGAACCATGGAGTCTAGGAGGCTGAAATTTTAGGGTAGTGATTCCATTTCCATGTTCAACCTTGCCCATTCAAGATCAGCGTTCCCGCGCTATGGCCTCGTGAAAAT